CTATTTGGGAATATCACTACTAGACGCCTTCACTGAGGTATGGTGCTCACGGGGGTATGGTGCAACAACTAAGAACGACAAAAATGGGCCAAAAAAATATGAGGAATATCAGCAAATAAAGCTTATAGGTACAATTCTCTATGCAAAATAAGGACTTGTGTTGATTTTTCTCGAATTCTCCATGCTCATTTTTGACGTTCTTGAAGGTTGCACCACACCACCGTGAAGGCGTCTAATTGCAATTGCCACATTGGGGTTAAATAGTAGGAAACAATCACAAGGGCTTACACAATACCAATATTTTCACTCCCCTGTAAGGTACATGTATACAACTGCAAACGCACAGTAGTGCAGCTAAGCTGGTGTTACTTCCAACGTATGTCACCCACAGAGTCATGGTTAATCCTGCCTGCCCGTAAAATATTTCGCATCATATATCTTAAAATCACAATGAGAGCGCATAATTCCGAAATTCTATGATCTTAGTACTGCAATATAACGACCATCAGCTGATATCTAGAGTCTAAGGGACGTCTTCCTATGAATAATTAAGGTGTACTCTATTGTAACTATACATCACTGGATATAAGTAACCGGCATTCGTTTTACGATTATTCTCAATACCCAATTGAACTACATCATATCTTCAAGACCGGCACCCCTCCTATCCTTTCGTCTGGCAACAAATGCTGACTAACCCCTAAAAAAGCAAACTTTTGTGTGGCTTTACGAACAGATCCTCTTATCTCTCTTATCAAATAATAGATCTTCCATACAAATTTAGTGCCTCTATTATAGGGTGGTCAGCTTGCCAGACGGAGGGGTAGCTACATGTAGTAGGCTTACATTGAACAGTATATTGCACCGAAGCTTGCACGATCGCACTATGTACCAGAGATTTCAGTACCCCTAAAGGCTAGAAGAAACACCAAAGTGCGGAGTGTATCCTACCAATGCCCTTTCCACTCCGAGTGATGCCCTATGTCTACGACCCGGCCTCACGAGTGATATTCCATGCACCAATCTGCTAACATGTATTGGAAAAAAAAAAATCTAACAAAAAGGTCGATGTTATGATGCATCCCATGCTGAAATGTGAAAGGAGAAGGACAAAAAAAAAAAATTACAACGCCCGCCACCGGGCGAGCGAGCCATAACCAAAAAAGAAAAAAAGCAACAAAAAAAGGACAAGAAGAAGAAAAGCCATTTAGAGTATTCCCCGCGCACGCCAGCCAGCCAGCCAGCCATCCCATCCCATCATTAAAGCCATAGATAAAATAACATCATCAAAAAACAAAAACAAAAAGCCAAAACAAAAAGAACGCAGGCCGGTCAAATACTCTGCTCCATCTCACTGATATACAGCAATATGTGGCCCTTCATTTTCGCAAATTCGGCGTGCGCGGCATTGACCTCTTCCTCGACCTTCTCCTTCATGTCGGCCATCTCCTTCTCGATCTTCTCGATGATGATCTTCTTCTTCTCCATGTCCTTGTCGCGCTCGGCGCGCTCCCGCGACAGCTGCTTGTAGGCCTCCTTGAGCTCGCGCATCTTCTTCTGCGCGCTCGACGACTTGGACTCTGCGGTTTCGCGCGCGCGCGTGATCTTGTCGGTGGCGTTCTGGAGCTGGCGTTGCAGGCGCTGTGGGGTGGGATCTGTTAAATGGGGGTTTTATATATACCGGTGTGTGGGTAGGATAGACAAACCTGCTCGCTCCTCTCCGCCTCCCGCACCTCCGTCTGCTTCTGCGTCAGCACATCAAAGTGCCTCGCCGCCTTCCTCGCGCTCTCCTCCTCCTTCACCAGCTCGGCCTCACACTCCTCCATGATCTTGATGGCGGCCATCACGTCCGCCTCCACCACCGCAAAGCTATCCGCACTCGTCTGCAGCGCCCTCCCCCTCCTCTCCAGCGCCTCCGCCTCCGCCTTCTCCGCCGCCAGCGTCGCGCCCATATCCACAATCACCCCCTGCAGCTTCTCGGGGCTATCCACAATATACGGCCGAATCTTCTCCGCCTCCTGCCGCGTCTTTGTCACAAAGAACGACCGGTCCTCCAGCGTCTTGATATGCGCCTCCTTCTCCTTCCTCAGCCGCCCATACTCGGCGCTCAGCGTCTTCTCGCGCTTACTCATGCCGCGCAGCTCCTCCGTCAGCGCCTCCACGTCCCTCCGCACGCCCTCAATCAGCGGCTCCTCCCGTGCGCGCCGTGCCCGCAGCGCCTCGACCCGCGCCGCCAGCTCCTCGTTCTCCTGCGCGCGCGCCTCGATCGCGTCGCGGATCTTCTCGGCCTTGGCTAGGTGCTCGCCGATCTCGCCGGCGCGCCCCTCGCGGAAGCGCGTGAAGTTGATGACGTAGCTGAAGATCTTGATGAGGCGCTTGGTGTCGGGCTTGGCCAGGTCGTTGAACGTGAAGTCGTGGATGTCGCACTCCTGCAGCAGCGTGCGCAGCGAGGCGTAGAAGGCCATTAGTGCAGAGGGCTCGTGGAGGGTTTCGGGGTGGTCCAGCTGCTCGCTGGCGGAGCGGATGATGGGCTCGACGGTCTCGCGACGCACGCCCATGAGGAGTTCGGCGAACATCTCGAAGACGAGTTGGGTTTTCTGGGGCGTGGGCCGCTTGAGGTCGTCGAGGGAGAAGGTGACGCCGAGTTCGGAGATGCAGTCGACGATGGTGCTTTCGGCCTGGTGGGGGTGTTAGTGGGGTTTCTGGTCACTATGAAGACCGCGGGAGATGTATGGGGGAGGGGGAGGGGGAGGGGGAGGGGGAGGGGGAGACGGACTATCATGAGGTAGCTGTCGGCCTGCTGGGTGGTGGTCTGTTTGCGGGTGCTTGGTGGGGGCTGGTTCTGCGATGCGCGGAAGACATTGCTCTGGCGCGGATTGTAGGACATTGCTGCTGTTGCTGTTCCGGAGCTGTTTCAGTATATCTCAATCTCTCTCTGCCGTTATGTGAGGTTTGTGTAAAGATTGATGTTCGTTTGTTCGTGGGCGAGTGAGTGAGCGCTGGTGATGGATGGCGGGGGAGCGAATAGAGAATGGAGGGGAGAGGCGTTGTTGCTGTGCCATGCCTGGGGTGCATGTGCAGCGAGAGACAATGCGATTGTTTACTTGGGAACTTCAGACATCAGAGGGATCATGGATGGCCGTGAGCGATGCTACAGATGGCGGTGAAGATAAGATCACTGGTGATATGATATGATTAGACTAGATTGATGCATCATATCTGCTATCTCTGCTATCTCTGCTATCTCTGCTATCTCTGCTATCTCTGCTATCTATCTACGCTACAATCAATAGCACCCGAGTCCCAGGTCCCGTCAGCGCTCAAGACACCGCCGGGCCCTCAAGCACACAGCACACAGCACGCCCCCAGCATCCACACTCACACTCACTCGCACCCACTCGCACTCACTCACACTCACACTCCCTTCCCCTTCCCCTTCCCTTTCCCCTTCCTTCCCCTTCCCCTTCCCCTTCCCAAGCCCGGGTAACAAGCAGCCAATCACCCCCCCCCCCGGGTCCACGTATCTAAAGCTGTACCTACTCTATCTATCTATCCCCAGCATGTACTCCAACTATCTGAGTCTATCTCTCTCAGCCCAACGCCCCCAACCTACAACAACAACAACGATAACGCTCCCTCCCCCCTCTGTCTGCAGGCCGATCTGCACCCCGGAAGCAATGGCACCAAACCGGTTGCGAGGGTAGCCGGCCGGGGGGGTTGTTATCGCAGGGTTAGGGGTCTGCAGCCCGCGGCTTCCGTCGCTTGTCTTCGGTTCTAGCGGGCCCGCAGAGCCTCCGCTAATCTGCATTGTGCATGCATGTAGGTAGAGTACTTTATGTAGATGTCGGCAGAAGGCAGGTGGGTAGGTAGGAATGTAGGTGTGTATGTGTGTAGATACTTGACCTGAAGCTGCTGGCCAGCCGTGAGAATCGCACCGTGCACTGACTGGCCGCTGGGTGGGAGGTACTCTACTATATCCTTGGTTGGGCCTTGGGGGGGGAGCTGATCGAAGGGGTGGGAAGGGCGGTGGAAAGATCGATGGTCAAGAAGAAGAAGAAGAAGAAGAAGAAGGGGAAGGGAAAGGAAGGGGAAAGGAAGAAAGGGAGCATCATAATCATCATAATCATCATGGGCAGCATCATGATGAACCAATGCCCGCGCAGCTTCTTTATACACCCGCAGTCACGCGCCGTCTCGCCTCGACGCTTGTCTGGGAGGGGAAGCTCTCTCGTCAGTCGTCACAGGACGGGCCATGGGTGGTAGTTTTTAGCTAATGCGAATCCCGAGATGTGTGTGGGAGTGTGTGGGAGGGAGGGAGGGAGTGCAAATGGGAGGGAGCGGATTGGGGAGGGAGGTGGGAGTGCGTGAGAGACATGGGAAGGTGTATCTATATCCATCTATCGTCTATCTATCAGATTCCCGGTTTGGGGGTTGTTAACCGTGTGTTGTTCTGGGGGTTGTTCTGGGGGGGGACTTCCTCGAGAGTAAAGTTTACTTTTGGGCTCAGCTACGTCTTGCTTGGGGCGGGCTTTTGTCTTGCCTCGTTAACTCTAACTCCTCTTACTTGCCTGCTTGCCTGCTTGCTTGCTTGCCCTCGGAGACTTATTTCTTGGCTTCTTCTGCTCTCCTCCTCCTCCTCCTCCTCCTCCTTCTTCTTAAGCTTCCTTCCCCGTGGAATTAAAAAGGCCCTGCCTCTTCGTCGAGCTGTTCTGCTGGCCTTCCTCTTTGTCTTGCCTGCCCTGTCTGTCCATGAGCTAGCTGTGTACCTGCTTTCTACCTACCAAATAACCATAACTATAAACCACCCCCCAAACCCGCAACTGCCCGTGCTTAAGCTTCCAGTGGGACTCTCACCTACAACAGATATCACGACAATCCTACCTACCTGCCCACCCACCTACCTACACATCCCCCCCCCCCCCCCATAGACAGATAGATCCCACATACCTCAATCCACCCCCCTCCACTCTCCCACCAGCACTCCAAAAGCAGCATCCAACATGCCCACCGCAACCACCCAAACAACCTACCTCCTGCGGCACCCCACGCCCACCGAGCTCACCCACATCCGCACGCAGCACTCCACCTGCTGGGCCGGCGCCCTCACCGTGTCCCAGTACCTGACGCGCGAGGACCACATCGCCTCGACGCCCCTGACCCGCAACGGCGGCATGACGCAATGGGTGCTCGTCGACGCCGCCGCGGACCCCGCGCACGTCCTGGCCTCGTGCGAGGCCATCCGGAAGAAGGCCCTCGTCGCGCACACGCCCGTCGACGGCGAGAAGCGCGTGCCCGTGGAGGAGGTCGTGGCCTACGGCATTGGCAGCGTCTTCACGCCCCCGGAGTGCCGCGGGAACGGATATGCGAAGGTTATGCTGACCATGCTGGGCGAGCGCCTGAAGAGGCATAATGGGCAGAGGGCGGGCTTCTCGGTGCTGTATTCGGATATTGGGAAGGTATGATGCCCCCCCCCCCCCCTCTCTCTCTCTCTTTCTCTCTCTCCCCGTCCCGGGCGAGCCTGGTGGTGGTGGTGGTGGTGGTGATGTTGTGCCTATGGGGGTAATGGTAGCTGATATCAAAGTATATATAGCAATTCTACGCAAAGCTCGGCTGGCTCCCGCACAAGTCCTCGCACATCGAGCTCCCCGTGCGCACCCCCGCCCCGCCGCGCATCCACCCATCGCGCGTGCAGCCCCTCTACCACGCCGACATCGCGCCGCTCTGCGCGCTCGACACCGCCGCGCTGCGCACCGCGCTCTCCACCCGGCACCCCAAGACACGCATCGCCTTCGTGCCCGACCACGGCACAATGGACTGGCACCACAACCGCGAGGAGTTCATCGGCGCCTGCGTGCGGCCCGACCTCGGCGCGCCGGCGATCAAGGGCTGCATCACAGCCTCTGGCACCCGCTGGATGGTCTGGGGCCGCGACTTCAGCGTTGCGGGACCGCGGCTGTATGTGCTCCGTGTTGTGGACTTTGGGCCCGAGGAGGGCCGGCGCGAGGACCTGATGGCGCTGTTGAGCGCCGCGGTGGAGGAGGCGGGGAGGTGGGGGTTGGGGAAGGTTGTGGTGTGGAATCCGGCGGAGAGCGTGGTGGGGGCGGCGGGGGCGGTGGTGGACGGGGTGGTGGGCGTCGAGAGGGAGAGCGACTCCATTGCGAGTCTGATGATGTATGGGAAGGGGGGGAGTGGGGAGGCGGAGGTTGAGTGGGTGCTGAATGAGAAGTATGCCTGGTGTTGAAGGAACGTTGGGTCTAACATTATGTACTTCTAGTGAGGTGAGGGGGTGATGGGGTTTTGCTTTTTTTTTTGTGGGGCTTCGGTTTTTTTTTTTTTGCTGCGCTGTTGTGGTTGTTTGGCTTTTATTTGGGTTTTTGCTTTTTCGTTTGGGACGGGGTGCCAATTGGCGAATGATCATATGGGTAATAGGGGAGACTGCAATGGGGGAGTTTGAAGGGATGGGAATTGGATGGGAAGGGAATTGGATCCACCACACCTTTAACTTTTTTATTTTTTATCTTTCTTTTTATTCTTTTTATTCCTTTTTCTTTCTTTTATTTTCCTGCGTGCAAAAGATCATGCGTGGATGATGATTGCTGGATTACAATGCCGGATTAATTAGCTGGGGTAGATAGCGTATGTAACGTTGAGGCGGTTGATTTGCGCGGTGCTCACGAACGAATTGAATATACATACGACGACAGACACATGAAGATCCTGTAGAGTAGAGTAGAACAGCGCTGGTAGCGGTTAGGATGTGCACTTGCGGTGGTTGATGATATGGTGCAGATTCAGTGGACGGTGGATATAATTCCTTTTGCTACCCGTACGTACTGTAGAGTAGACTCGTTGATATTTCCCAGCACTGGGTACGTTCTCTCCTCCGAGGACCTGCCTGCAATTGATGGGTGAGGGAGGGAGGGAGGGAGGGCGGGCTCACGAGATGCAATTGATCTGCGCTCTACATACATGATGTGGAGTAGAGGGTAGAGTAGGAGGAACGTACGTAGAGACAGACGTAGAGTATTGCAATTGACTGATTCACTGTCAATAGTCTGCACTGAATTATTATCCAAGTCTGACCTGACTCTACATATCACCAAAAAAAACAAAAGCTGCCCGCCGCCTCATTCTCATTCTCACACTGTCTGTACTGTACTGTACTGTACTGTACCTACCTCGCTTCCGCTTGCAACCCTCCCCGTGCGTTCCGTTTGCATGGCCGGTCGAGTCCCCCCCCCCCCTACATACATACCTCATACCTAGGTAAGCCTTCCTTTTCCCTCACCGCTGTTGCGTATGTAGATTGTTTTTCTTTTTTCGGATGATATAGAAGATTCCTATCTAATCCAATCGCATCGGATCGATCAGATAGAGATAATCTATCTACATCCATCCACAAATCTATCTCTCCCCTGGCCCTGGCCCTGCCCAGACAGGACCCGGGAACAGCGGGCGGACGGGAAAACCCCGTGACAGACACGTTGTCCTGCGTCCAATCAGCGCGCGCAGAGATCTGCTGACTTGACCTCTTGGGCGTGCCGGGGTGCGAGCGAGCGAGGGTTTCTGTCTGATAGTGTGGTATGGATTGCATGTGGGTATGGATTGCATGTGGGTATGGGTATGGATGGATGGGGCTAGGCTAGGTACCCGTCTTCCTTTCTTTCTTTTCTTTGGGTCCTTTTCTTGGAACGGGGGCGAGAGACTGAGTGAGGGGAGGAGTAGGGGAGAGAGAGAGGCATATTGAAAATCTTATCATATCTATTCCATCCATCTGAAGTGGACGGACGTCGTATGTAGGTGAGTGGTAGAGTAGGTACCTATGTAGAAACCAACCAGACAGACAGACAGACAGCCGGCCAGGGGTGAGAGAGCTCTGGTTGTTGTACAGCGATGGGGAAAATTATTGTAGAAACAGGGGTCTAAAAACAGGGTTAAGGTGGCTGCCCTGGCCAATAGGACTCTTACCATACTTCTACAATAATTTTCCCCATCGCTGTAGCTGGCCCTGGCCCGTAGCTGTCGCGGTCAATTCGGATTGACAATTCCAATTCTGCGTGTCGTGAGTGGACCACAACGGGGGGGGGGGGGGGTTGTTAGGCCTATGTAGGGTGAAAGGGGGGGGGGGGGGGGTGTTTTTCTTTTAATTTTTTGCACTCGTTTTTTTCCCTAATTCAATTCCCGCGGTCAGAACCCGGCGCCGGCGGTGGTGGTTCGTGGTTCGTGGTGGGCTTATTCTTTTTTATTATTCTTTTTTTTAACTATATCTTACAAATTGCTTTCCTCAAACAGCTGTTCGGTTTTTTCTTTCTTTCTTTCTTGGACGTGAGAGAAATCAGACAGACAGAGAGACAGAGAGAGAGAGAAAGAGATCCCTTTTTAAAGATTTCAAAGTTATTCTTCCTGATCTTTCTTCACCCTTCCTCCTCCTACTCATAATATTCCCTACAACCACCCCCCCCCCCCCCCCCCCCCCAAAAGCTAGTCTTGTCTTGTCCCTGTTCCTAGAAGAGATATATATAAAAAATCGGTTTACTTCCATCCCCCCCATCGATCCACTTACTCACTATATCGAACACCCCCCTCCTCCTCTCATCGATCCACCATCACCGCCGCCCATTAACCCCTCGTATATATATATTTCCCGATATATATAACCCGCGCCATGCCGGGGAAGCTTCTCTCAGCATCGCTCTCGTCTCTTTCAGTGACTTCAGCCATGGCATCTGGTGCTGCTGCAGCCCCCTCGACGACGCCCACGCCCACGCCCACCACGGCCAGCAACACCACCACCGCCGGCACAACTACTAATACCACGACGCCGACCACCACCACAAGCAACAGCAGCACTGGCAGCGGTAATATTACTGCACCAACACCTTCCGCAACCACAACCACAACCACCACAACGAGCCATCTCTCACCACCACCACCACCACCACCACCACCACCACAACTGACATCCACCACTACAACTACAACTACCACAACATCACCACCAACAACAACAACAGTGCCCATCCACCCACCAGCCCCTACACCCACACCCACACCCCCCACTGCTACGTCCAGCACTACACCTCCAAATCCCCCACAGCCCGCCATAGCAGCAGCAGCCCTCGCCCGCGAAGCTATGACGCCATCCGCCCTCGCGCTCGACCACGCGGCGCACACCCCCCACACCGCCATCGCCGCGCAGGACCACGACCGGAACAGCAGCAGCAACGGTGGCAGCGGCGGCGGCGGAGTGGTAGCAGGAGGAGCAGGAGGAGCTAGCATAGTGGACCCGGCCCTGACGGCCGCCACGCCCTCGGAGGAGGACACGGGGCTGATGCGGCAGCAACTGCAGCAGTTGCAGCAGGTGGTCCAGCAGCACACACAGCACGCTAAGCAGCAGCAGCAGCAGCAGCAGCAGCAGCAGCAGCAGCAGCCGCAGCATCAATTACAGCCTGTCGCCGTGGCAGCGGTCGCCGCCGCGGCCGCAAGTGCTGCAGCACCCCCGGCTACGCCGACGCACACACCAATGTCGCAGCCGCAGACGCCGCTGGATAGTCCTGCGCCGTCGACGATTGTGATGGGTACGGCGAGTGGGCAGACGTGCAGGTAGATGGGCTTCTCTCTATTCTCTCCCCCCCAATCATTCCCCCTCCCCACCACCACCACCACCACCACCCCGCCCTCCCTTCACTGCTCAGAAAACTTTTTGTTGCACTTTTTTCCATGTTTTGCACTTTTTTTTTTCTTACTCTACTTTTGGGATTTCCTGACTAACTCGGTTGACTATTTTTTTTTTACTTCTTTCTTTGCCTACAGTAATTGCCGCACTACACGTACACCGCTCTGGCGCCGCGCGCCCGACGGCCAGACAATCTGCAACGCCTGCGGCCTCTACCTGAAGGCGCGGAACCAGGCCCGCCCCACGAACCTCAAGCGCCCGCCGCACGGCTCCACCGTCGGCAACGTGCAGTCCTCGCTCGGGGCCACCTACGTCGCCGCCGACCACGTCGTCTCCGGGACGTGTCCGGGCGGGGGCAGATGCAACGGCACGGGAGGGGCAGAGGGCTGCAATGGCTGCCCGGCGTTCAACAACCGCGTGAGCAAGGCTGCGCAGTTCACGGTCGGCGTGGCAAATGGGGCAGGAGGAGGGGGAGGGTGTGGAGGAGGGGGAGCCGGAGGTGGAGGAGCTGGTGGAGGTGGTGGTGGCGCTGCAGGTGTCCCGACGGACCCGGCACTGACGAATGCTCCGTCGCCTTCGCCGGCCCCTCAGCAGCAGCTGCAGCAGCAGGCACCAATACAACAGCAGCAGCAACAGCAGCAGCAGCAGCAGCAACAGCCGGCCAGGACGGGCTCACCGCCGTCGAATAATACAACAGTGGTGGTAGCTTGCCAGAACTGCGGTACAACAATAACGCCGTTATGGCGCCGAGACGAAAGCGGTCATACTATCTGCAATGCCTGTGGTGAGTGAGTCCATTATTGTTATTGTTGTTGTTGTTGTTGTGGTGGTGGTGGTCCAATCAGGTTCCCCGAGCGAGAGAGCTTTCCCTTATCAGATCGTACGATGGTCGTCGGGAGGGACTGTTTAGCCGAGACCCTGTCGATTGTGTTTGAATCCTGTAGTGTGACCGACCCCGTAGCCTAGCGCCCTCTCCCCCCCCCAATCCCCTGTCATGCCTGTTTCCTTCGATCATCTGATATGATATGATTGATAAGCCCCCCTCCCTCTCCCTCCCAGGCCTGATGCATGGATGCCATGCATAATACCCATATACCAATCCTATCTCTATATTGCCCTTGCCCGAGGGATTTCTCCACACACCCCTCGCTCCCTCCCTCCCACTAAACTAATTTGCATTGGGGGTTTTCCTTTTTTTCTTTTTTTCTCTATTACGACACTCGGGAGTTTTCCTGATTCTCTTTTTTCCAAATTTCAATCTGGGGGACAATTTGGCTTGCAATTCGCCCCCAAAAAATAAAACATGACGCTGATTTTTTTTACCACAGGGCTCTACCACAAGCTCCACGGCGTCCATCGGCCCGAGGCCATGAAAAAGAGCATCATCAAACGGCGGAAACGGGTAGTGGCCCCTGCAAATGGAAACTTTGCCTCCAGCCCAGCAGTAGCAGTAGCAGCAGCTCCCGTGCAGCAGGGAGGAGGAGGGGGGGGGGGTTTGGTCGGGATTGATAACGCCCATACGCAACAGCAGCAGCAGCAGCAACAGCAAGCACCGGCTCAAAACACACTTACAGGTATGTAGGGTGTATGTGTAGGCTACTCTTACTACGCACTACTTTCCCCCTTCCCTTCCTCCCCCTCCCCCTCCCCCTCCCCCTCCCCCTCCCCTTCCCCCTTTCATCTCCGCCCTAAGATCCCAAGGGTAGCATATAGATGTAATGTACGGTTGGTTCAATGCACTGACACGAAACGAACGATCGTAGGCCTTAATAACGGATCAGACGATGACACGGAGATGACGGACTCTGGCGGGAACGCCCCGAGACAACTCCCGCATCCTGGCCAGCAGCAGCCAAGGCATTTCCCGCCGCCAATCGACTTTACAACGAGTTTCCGGAGCCCAGCAGCAGCGGCAGCTGAAGGTGGAGGAGGAGGTGGTGGTGGCGGCGGAGGAGGAGGAGGAGGGACGGCGGGAAACGTTAATAATGGAGCTCCCGTCGCCCCCTCCATGAATTCTTCCTCCTCTACTCACCACCACAGTCACCAAGACTCCTCATCATCGCTGGCCCCATTATCTCCCCATAACAACAACAACAACAACGTCGCAGATAGCCCACAGCCCCCCCATAACCAGCGAAAAAGAAGCCTGTCTATTGCGGAGGCGGATAACCTTACCTCTGACCAACGACTCCACTCAATCAACTCCATCCTCAACCCAAGAAGCCAGTTAAACATGGGCGACGTGCCAATCGAACCTAGCCTTCTCGCCCTCGGCGCAGGCACAATGGCAGATCTGACGGACGAGCAGAGGAGAGCCATCCTCCTGCAGCGACGCCACGACTTGGAGCGCGAGAGCAAGCGCATCAAGGAGGAACTCGAGGGCTGCGAACGAGAGCTCCAGAAGCTCGGAGGCGGAGAGAAGATGATCAATGGCGTCATCGGCAATGACGATAACGCCGGGAATGCCACGGCGGTGTTGGTGTAAAGAAAGGAGAAGAAAGGAGATATGAGGGTGGGGAGGTATCTTGGGACTTGTATGGAGTATACTGTGTTTTTCCCGCCTCCTTTTGTTCTTTATATTACTCTTTTTATGTTTCTCTTCTCTCGATATGTATGTTTCTAGGGATTCATTGTCGTTTTTTTCTCTACTTCTTCACTTTCTACTTTCTACTTCGGCTTCTATTGCGCCGTTGAAGAAGGTTTTGTTTGTTTGCTTGTTTGGCTTCGCTTTCAAAGGCTTTGCTTTTCCGTAAACCTCTTTTTTTCTCTTTTCCGGAACCTTTTCTATTTTATTCATTTGAGGGGGAAAAGAAGACATTCATACTCATCTCAGAGGACGGTCGGTTCGGTTCGGTTGGTTGGTTGGTTGGTTTTGTGGATGCTTGTATGGGCACGCACGGGGTTTTTGGTGTTCGTTTTTTTTTATTTTATTTTCTCTTTTTTTCTGTGTGTGTGTTGTGTGTTTAAGAGCAGTTTTGTGTAAAGTCAAGTCAGCCAGCCAATCAGTCAACCAGCCAACCTGTCCCTGTGTCGTGAAAAAAAATTGAACATGTAGAGTTAGTAGCCACGGAAAGAAAATGTCATCGCGAACTCCCTAGCATTAATTGTAGTAGTTGTTGTTGGTTGACCGGTCATCTCGGGGGTGCCGCCGGATGGGATGGGAAAGGCGACGAGGGGGGGAAATGATTCTTCGGACTGGAATTTCCTTATCAGATCGTTCTCCGACATGGGTTCTCACTCTTGTCCCTTTCCGCAAAAAAAAAAACCCCGAAGTTCGTTTTGCCGTGGGAGGATGTTTTTTTTTTTCCTGCGCGCGTGCGGGGTTATCGGCCGGGTTGGGGAATTTGGAACGAAATTTTTTTTTTGGCGTATGTAGGGAGTTTGGTTTGGTTTGGTTGGGGGGGTTTTTGTTTTTGTGTGGACGCGTGGACGGAGGGCTGCCAAGATGCGCGGGTGGGAGGGGACAGGGGAGGGCAGGGCAGGTAGCCTAAGGTAGGGCGAGCTAGTGGCATGTAGTAGTAGGGCTGAGTGGGAGGGAGGGAGGGAGGGAATGGTGATCGGTGGGCGGGCGGGTATGATGTGATGAGATGGAGAGTGGGGGTGGGGGTTTAGTGACGGGAGTTCGGTGTATTTTGGGTTTGTGGTTATTTAAGAGGGCAATTACAGGTACCTCTGTGTATGGAGTCGTAGAGTGTGCGGAGGGATGGCCGGGAAATGGTAGGGATTGGCGAGGATGGGGATGTTGCACTTTGGGTGTAAAGTATAGACTTCGTTAAAATTGGTACAAGGTGGTTTGTATGTGGTTGGTCTATTCGTTTATTCGTGGTAATGGATGGCCATAAGGGCAGGCGTATGTGGCTTGGGTATATGTAACCTTGAGACCTGACCGGCCTGGAATCTGGGAAAGGCCTGGAGATGTTGAGCATGGTTTAATCCAATTTTGATCCTGAATGCATCTAATTAAAGATTATGGTTAATATATTGGCCCGAATAAGAAGTTACGGGAGTTAGGTTCTTTCTTGGCCTATCACAGCTCCAGTAGAGTACGTAGTGTAGGAGGTATTTCGATAGAAGTATCGTAGGTGATGATTTTATTGGGAGGTTCGGAGGGAACCTCTTTAAATACTCTACTAGCTTTCCCTAATTAGCGTCATACTGATACCGCGACATCCTTAACCTCTATTGTACACATAACTGTAACTACATGTACTAACGTATAACGGCGCCCTACAAGTAGAGCTTGTTGGTTTTTACAATCTTTGCTATCTGTTATTAGTACTGTGTCAAGACAACGAGTTTGGTTGTCTTGATGATACGTGTTTATCACGACTTTGTTGTTATAAAAGGAGCTTATTCCTTCTTCTCTCGTTGATACTTTAATTCAACCACACAATTCGATTCTCTTCCGTCTCTTATAAATTCGCGCCCTGCTCAACAGAGCTAAAATAGTATTTATGAATCATATACCGTCACTCGGGAGATATGATGCAAGACCTAGATTTTGTCTAGAAAGTACTAGGAGGCAGCAGCCTACAATTGATGAAAGACGGACGAGTGATTATACATGTATGCACCATACGTGTAGTTCACTCTTGCCCTGTATTAACAATTAATGAATTAAACAAAAAAAGAAAAAAAAAATCTTGCCCTGTATTGTATTTGCCGAGGCACATAAACCAGGGTTCCTACTTCACAACCTATCACTCGCAAAAAGACGGTTCAATTAATTGCACCGTTTGAATCATTGGTTATTATGTAGCTCCTTAAGTACAGCGGTAGGTAATAAGTGATGGAACGCCCTGAGGTACAGTTATACCTGCAAACACCGTATGTTGGTGGCGTTTTACCTAAAACAGGTATCACTGTGTCTCGGGGCGTTCCATCACTTATTACCCACCGCTGTACATGGAGATAAATGTAACGTTCCAGCTACGATTTTGCTTCTCTCTACTCGCGCAAAAGAAGGGAAAATTCTATCTGGTGGCGTGCTCTTCCCATACTTGAGCCCTGGGGGGCTCATGTAGGACTTCCTACTTACATGTTTGTATCTCTGCTCTACTTTCTACGGACAGTGGATAAAGAAATAAGTTTTTTTTTTTAGTTTTTTTTCACCAACAGTGTGGAACATAACCATTTGCATGGCAGATGTTCTTATGAATAAATCAACCAATCAATCATTCGTATGGCAGAGATCACTTACATCTTTCGGTCATTACATGTATATCTAAAACCATCCTCATCGGAACCATTCTTCTTATAGTGGACGTAGGGCGTCCCTGGGCTGTCGAGGGTTTACTACAGCTTGCCCGGCTGACTCCACCCAACCTTGGCCCACAGATAGCTCAAGCACTCCCGAAAGAAAGCTCCATCAGAACTCCACAATCTGTATACTTTCAACCTGTACAAAAAATCCATCAACACATCCTCATACACCATCACCATATCCCCCTTTACGTGAAATTCATCTCAAACCACCCAACCTCGCCCATCCCAATGTCTCCCCACACTGTCGACCACGTCTCACAGTCACCCTTCATCATCTGCTCCCCCGATGATGATCTCCTCACCCCCGAACAATGCGAAGAGATCTTCAAGCACACCTCCTCCCAGCCCCTGTACCAACCTCTCCCGCCGCAGACACCAGGGTTCTTCCCTTTCCCTTCTACAATCCACACAAAGTTCCTGCAGCTGCGCTGGGAAGGGAGACGGTCTAGGGTTAACCTTGGGTACGCGCTTGCAAACGTCTGCTACAGGCGTGTCATCCATGACAGCATATTCTTCAAGGTCATCGACTTGATAGATGTCCCGCCTCTGGCAGCGGACATGCTCGGGTTGGTGCAGAAGTATACGCACCAGGTATTCCGCGACATTGCTGGGCAGCCCCAGGATATCCTGCAGCTTCGGATGTCGACCGAGACGTAAGCATCCGCTCTGAATCCTTCAATTATTGCTACATATATAAATAAAAACCGGGCTAATACCTCCCCCCTCAAGGCAATCTCTACAAGCCGACCACTCCACGCCACAATCACCCCCAGACGCCCCCAACGGCGCCATCACCTACTGCAGCGGCCGCACCCCCACGCACCTCCCGCTCCTCCTCCTCGTCGTGGTCCCCACCTCCGACACCGCCAGCGCCCTCGGGATCTGCCACAAGCACATGCTCGTCTACGCCGAAGACTACTTCAAGCGCTTCCCCTACGAGACCGAATACCGTAGCTACGTACTGTGCCTCCAGGGCAGCGTGGTCTACTTTACCTCAACTAAAACCAGCCGCCACAGCGTGGACGTTTTTGGTGTCAAGTCGCTCTTCAAGCAGTGCCAGGACCGCATTGACCAGCATGTCCTTTCGTCGTTCAAGTATGACATCGCCGAGTTCGGCCAGGCGTGTGAGTTCTTCAAGGTCTACCGCTATATGGTTGGGATGTTGGTGGTGGGCGAGGAGGTGGCGTGCTCGGTTCATAATGCGCTGAAGAATACCAGGGAGGAGGGGAAGTTTGAGATTGCCGTAGGTGGTGAAGGGTCTGGGAAGTCAGGCAGAGGTGGTGCTGAACCTGAGTCCTGCGCGTCGGATGACAAGGAGAAGGACAACCAACAGCAGGCGGAGACTACGGCCCCCGTCGAAAACAAATAAGTAAATATATATGAGGAGGAGGAAATTTCTGGTCAATGTCTTGTAATTACATAGTACAAGTACCAGCACGATTGTAAAACGAAAATTTAGAATTCCTCATCTATGCATAAATTATAGTTCTTCACAAGCATCAAATTGACCTGAGTCAAAATTCAGAATGGCACAGGTCAGGGCGAATAGGGTTTCCCCGCGAGTGATAATCTATGAGAATAACGATTCAGAAAGATGAAACTAAGGGTTAGGGTTAGGTTAGGCTGATCAGGCCCTGTTATTTCTCAAGACTGCAATACATCTGGCTTTTTGTTTTGAAAGTAGCATAGGCGATAGTCATAGTTGAATGGTAGAACGAGACTGGCTGTAATCTACTTCTGTCTCAACTTGTGCCAATCATTAATTATCCGTCTTGAAATTTTACTCAACAATCGAAGACGCATAAATCAGTGTAACGAACCATATACCGTCACTCGGGAAACACGATGCAAATCCGAACGATAGAAATTTTCTTCGTTTGGTATATACAATATCCCCAAACTGCCGAACTAAAATCAAAAACAGTACTCTAATCCTTGTACAAGCTAGTTCGAATCTCTAATTCCAGCAAAACAAAAACATACTCAACGCCGAAACAACAATGATAAAAGCACATATCCAAGACCTATACCATATTATCCGACTAAGGATCTTCTTGCCTTAGTCCACCACGGTACCTCTACTCCTTCGAGGACTACCGTATCATCCGCTCTTCTCCCAGTGTACAGATCCATATCCTCCAACCGCACCCACTTGGTCTTATTCCAGAACTTGTACACAACAAAAAAAAGCACTGACACTGGTAGGAGAATGTAGTTTATTACAAAATCTTTGGCGCTGAATGGGTTCAAGAATGCAGTATACCCTAACATCCGCCATTAGCTTAACTTCGCGAACCAGAAAGAGGAATACAAACCCTGGAAAAATATTAAGAAAATGTTGGCCCCCAACGCAGCGTAAGCACCATACGGGTACCAAGCGGCTTGAAATGGCAGTGCTTCAATGCTTTGCCCTTGCGCCGCCATCGCCCGTCGGAAGCGGATATGCACAAACATAATCGTCGCCCAGACCATAAATGTCGACAACCCACTAAGCGTTATAAGAGCCTCATAGAGCTCACCAGCGCTCCCGGAGAGTGATAAAAATGATATGCAGGCCCCAAGATTCGATAACAAAAGTGCTGCCCAGGGAACGCCACGTTTATCAACTTTGGAGAAGATTTTAGGTGCTTTTCCGGTGCTGGCCATGAATAAAATGGTTCTAGAGGCGACATAAAGCGATGAGTTCCCTGCGGAGATTACAGAGATGACGATAAGCGCATTAATGAGATGAGCGCCGACGTGAATTCCAGCACTATCAAGGGCAATAGTGAGAGGCGAGCGGGCGGTACGGGAGGTAGATGATAGAAGGCGGGGGTCATCATAAGGCATTAAAATGCCAATAAAGAACATCATCCCCACGTAAAACTATCATATCTTTAGTAATTATTCAAGCAGCTCCTGCGGTTGACTCACGATCAAGATCCTCCAAAAAACCTGCTTGATGGCTCTTGGAACGGCCCTCCCTGGATTTCCGGCCTCTCCCGCCGTGATACCCACCATCTCCGTACCGGCATATAGTGTACCGGCAATGACGAAGGTCCTTGCAACACCATTTATTCCATCCGCAAAGGCTCCCGGGTCGTTCCAATATTTGAACCCAATCTTCTGCGGCCCAATTCCACCGGCCGATATCACGATTGCAACAATAAAGAATATCGTTATCGAGATAACTTTAATCAGACTTAACCAAAACTCCACCTCCCCGTATGCCAAAACCCCTAGCATAGATAAAGATAAAAATAGCACCCAAAACATTAGGATCCACGCCCATTGTGGAACGACGTCAGACCAGTACATCACGACAAGAGAAATCGCATTATATTCATTAGCAAGAACAGTAACCCAGAGATACCAATATCCCCATCCGAGGGCAAATGCGAGAGAGTCATCGACGAAGCGTTCAGCGTATTCGACAAAGGAGCCGGTTACGGGAATGAGTGTTGCGAGCTCGCCGAGTGATTGCCTGTGCAGCTTGATGTTAGTAGTGAAACTGAATAATGATAACCAAATATAGGGAGAGTACATGCATTACAAAAAAGACGATTAAACCGACGAGGGCAAAGGAAATTAAAATTCCAGCGGGACCTGCAAGATGGAGCGCATTTCCGGAGCCCACGAGAAGGCCTGGTCCGATGATTCCTTGATAGGTGTCAATAATTTAATTCCTAAATTACAAGTGCATGCTACCCGGTTCTAGGATTCGATGCTATACATCATATCTTATTTGAGGTATTGAAAAGCATGAGTTACATACCCCCGATAGCTGTAACAAAATAATGATTAGTATAGTTACGCGACAGTCATAATAACCCAAAAACATTGGAACACTTTACCAATCATCTGCAAATGCCTCGACTTTAACTTCCGGTGTAGCGGCGATCCGTGGGAATCACCATGCCCTGACCCTGTTTCGGATACAACCTTCGTGTCTCCCACCACTTCTTGTCCCTCCATTGCCTTTTCACTGTCTGGACTCATCATGAATCTTTACGTGAATTGAAACGACGCCACTCAAGTAAGATTGAGGAGTTGAGAGTTTCGTTAGAAAGGAGACGTCGTGTCGCGATCTAATCATCAAAAGACCAGTTCACCAATACTGAAACCCACCAGATCTGGAAACGTCTCCGAACCCAACTTTCGGAAACCGTAGGAAGGACTCAAATAATTTGAAAGGGAAGAATAAAATAAACAACCCCGGGGTCTTCCAATACAACAATTCACACCACAACGGTCTGAAGAGAGATACAGTGGGCATTTTTTGAGATGGCGCAATATATATACTGGGTAACGTAATACGGTGTGGGGGTTACTATGGGAGTGTGCTCGCGCTTCGTCCCGGCTTAGGCTCGGGAACAGGCTATCATTTCAGAAGTCGAAAGTCGAATGAGGGGCTGATATCGTCACGAATATCAACTTGTTAAACCGGTCTCTTATCGGGAGGGGAGATCTGGGGTTAGATCCTAGTAGCTACATACCTCATACCACCTGCGCGTTTATGGGACCTTCTTAATCTGGGGCTAGGGTTGCACTTTGCCGTTCTACTCGGACACTTTACCGGGAAGATACCGCCGGAGATCTATCGCAGCTATGTAGTTTATCTATTGGGACAAATATTTTCTAATAATGGCCATTGAAAACGGAGAAATACTCGTACGGTTTAGTACCCGTTGTAGGGTACATCTGGAGCATCTACGGGTATGTGACCACATGTAGGTACATATTAGCATGCAGGTTGGGGTGATAGACCACGTAGATAAGTTCAGACAGACATAGAGTAAGTAAACTAATATCATCCCTAAATTATGTATGTACCGATCAGCACAGGTATCTACATACTACATGTATAAGTAGCACAGTACATGTAGGTACATACTTCAAGTTCCCTATCAAATCCCCGAAACTCCTCCACCCACAGCAATATAATAATAATGCATTGAACTGAGAGAAATACTCCGATTAAAACTTCGTAGCTACATGTACCTACATGTACCTACTACCTACACGTGTACGCCAAGCAGTGGCTTTTAGGAAGTCACCCTATCTAGAACCGCATGCAGTTTAGTACAGCGGTAGCCAATAGATAAGCTTTTGAGCCTCACAATCGCACTAGTCCCCTCTACTACCAACGTCAACAAATACCAAGTTACATTAGTAGCAAACATCGTAGCACCAAAATGTCTTTATTAACGCCGCCAAAACTTGTCGCCTCAACTGGAGGAACCTACAACTGCCGGACTGGAGGGAGGCAAGGCGCAGTAGGAGGCGGGAGGGAGAGTAATCTGTTCAAGAGCGCGCAATGGTATAGCACGGGTCCGCTGGCTAGCTAGTAACTGTAGAGACTAACTATTCAAGAGGTCTCCGGATGGTACATGTATACTTACTTCTAGTGAAGATAATGAGCTGCGGACATGGATAGTGTATGCTAGTCCCCTCTTATTTGCAGTAATCTTACTAACAGCCCAATTAGTCCTGCGGACCTCCTTGAGCCATCAGCATCCCCTAAACACCTCGAGCCATTCTCTTCACTTCGCACCGCAGAGCCTGTATATGCGGCGGCTATATATCCATATATGCAGCTATCCACACCGTCTACGTGCTGTTTCATCGCATCTTCACGCGATCACCCAATACAACTCTATGATATGCTTACACCTACCACCCGTGCAAGCTATCCCCTGATCGATCCAATGACGGAGAAATATCACACCCCAGCATCACTTCTTTTTGCTCCGTCGAACCCGAATCGGTTCATTGCAGGGACCACATCGCAGATATCGTTCTTTGATATCCATCGCAATGGAGAGGGGCCAGTGGTTGCATTGAAGACAATACCTACCAGAAGGAGTGTTCAGACTGCACACACAATGAAGGGTATCATATCTGCCCTGGCAGTATGTCCCGGAAGCTCTGATGGGACCGGTGTCTTAGCGGCTGGAACATTCGGAAGACAGGTAGGTTTATATTCAGCAGAGGGAACGGGAGAGACAATTGGTGTATTTGGATTGGGCGAGAGTGATGGTGCAGGAGTCACACAGTTGGTATGGAGCCAGTGTGAAAGGTATCTTTATATTGCAGAGAGGAAAAGCGAGGTAATTTCCGTGTATGATATTAGGGTTGCTGGAGAAAAGGTCGAGAGTTTTAGAGGTAGGCGAGCAGGAACCAATCAGAGGGTGGGAATTGATGTGGCGTATGCCTTGCGTGGTGAAGTGGTAGGCGGGGGAATCGATGGAAAAGTAAGAATCTGGGAGGCAGGGCATAGTAGAGAGGATTCACAGATCGGTAATGCGAACTGCGAATGGCAGGCACATAATGATGTGGTGAGTAGCACAGTAGTGCATCCTGGAGGAGCAGTTTTGGCAACCTGCTCGGGCTCGAGAAAGCCAGAGGCCCTCGAAGAGGATGAGGGAGAGAGGAAAGAGGGGAATAGTTGGGACAATAGTCTAAAGATTTGGGCACTATCGCCCCTGAGTCATGATCAAGAGGATATAGGCGATAAGGAGCATAACACTGCCGACACATACGATAAGGAAAAGGATGAAACAATCGGAGTGGCTATTGGTCAAAAAGGTACTGAAGACATAGTAGGCGCATGTATATAGTCGAGTACAATGCCAACCTTCTTCTCTGTTTCGAATACTTGTAATACTATCTCAATTATCTCAAGATCTATTATAACGGTGAGCGAGCATGCATGATGCAAATTTAGTTTTTATATGGGACCTGCATCATACTGTGTCACTCGACACCATGCGAACCACTGACAGGATGTATATTTCCCGAACAGCTGCATACTAGACTGTAGCCATCCCGTCCCCGCGATAATTACTGCTTTCCTTTGTTCATCACACGACAATAAACTCATGTCCCCGCACCAAGATTGCAGGCATCACGAGCAGACGGGTGCCTGCATCAAAAGTGGGGCACTGCATTTACACCGTGAAACAGGAGGTTCTATCTGTTCGTCCATCAAATATATAATGTATAACGTTTCTGCTAAGCGAGAGTGAGGCTCATAGTTTGAAGAAGGGCTCCCTAGCCTGAGGTGAAGGGAAAGTCTTGGGCCTGCCATACTTTCTATGTCATCCATCCGCTATTCTCTCGGGAATAAATACTTAGCTACCCCGCCTCCATTATTCCATCTCTTTCTGTAATCCTCATCACACTATTTTCTCTTAGTCTTTTGTTGTTGACCAACATCGACAAGTACATTCCTTAACCATATTTTGTTCTTCACAGTTCAATCCATTCTCCATCCACAATTGTGATATCGATCACATTGAGAAATTTTAAAAATGCATTTCTCCACCTTTCTTCAAGTTCTCGGTTTCTTGGGATTGATGAGCAGCACCAATGCTCACCACATGCTCACCAACATCATCATTGGGGGAGTCGACCAAGGTGATGGGAATTCCATGCGTATCCCACCAAACACCGACCCGGTTGTCAATGTCCAGTCCACTGACATGACATGTAATGTCGGTGGCTTGAAATCAGTCAGAAAGGCTGTTTCCATTGATGCAGGGCGATCTGTGACTTTACAGTGGCGCACCTGGCCGGATGGATCTCAAAATGCACCGATTGCTGATTCTCATCAAGGTTTGTACATTTTTCCTATTTCCCAAAGCTTCTTTTCGAATTTTCTTTATTAACATCACTAGGTCCGTGTGCTGTTTACATGAAGAGTGTAAATTCTTTTACTGATCAGGCGCCGGCAAATGGCCCTGGTTGGTTCAAGATTTGGCATGATGGATTCAGAGATGGTGTGTTTTGTACCGAGAGATTGAGAGCCTCTGGTGGAAAGATGACTGTCACCATTCCAAAGGATCTTGCTGGGTAAGTTCTCTATGATGACTATCACCGTATCCAGGTTTAAAATCCCTTGCTAATCATCAAACAGTGGTCTTTATCTTATCCGTGCTGAACATCTTGCTTTGCACCAAGCTGTAAGTACATGTATATACCTATATCCCAAATTAATTATCTAGACTAACGGAGGTCTTCTTATTAGCAAAACATTGGTGGTGCTCAGTGGTACATTGGGTAAGTTCACCAATCTCATCTTATTTTAACTCTACTAACCATGGTTTAGATGTGTCCAAGCTAGGGTTTACTCCACCGGCGGTAATGCACGTCCTCAGGGAGTCTCTATCCCTGGCCATACTGATGCAAATCACCCGGGGGTCCACTTCGACTACTGGAACAACATGAAGCCCACATCTTATTCTATTCCAGGCCCAGCACCATATGTGGTAACCAACGCTGGTGGCGGTTCAAGGATCCCCCAAGCATTTCAACAGCAAAACCCAGCCTGCCGAGTCAGTAACGCAGATTGGTGTTCAGCTGATTTGCCTGAGTATAAAGACGAGGGATCTTGTTGGGAAGTACGTTGATCTCTCTCTTCAGTCAAGACCAGTTTTAAAGACATCAGCTAATCATTAAATAGTCTTGTGGAAACTGTTGGAAACAAGTGAATGATTGCTACAACACCGCTCCACCAACTGGTCACAAAGGCTGCACCCAATTTGAGAATTACTGCACAAAAGCACAGGAGCAGTGTAGGCAATGTGGTTCTGGAACAGCATGCCATGGATCCTTTCCCCCTGCCAAACGCAGCCTTTCTCTCAGCTCCGATGGAGAAGGTACTCCTCAAAACCGCAATGTCAATAAGCATACCCGCCGAACCACTGCCCCAGTCGCCTCCTCCGCTCCCGAGGCTAAGCCTATGAGTAAAGAGACAATGGGAATCGAGATTTGTGTCCTCACCCAGAAGAACTGCAATAATCACAATGATCTTCTTTTCTGTGGTCGCTTTGCGCATGCGTGTGTCCATGCGGTCGAGAAGTATGCAGAGCAGTTCCCGGTTAAGGCCGAGAGAAAGTGGCAAGGCTTGTGGATGTTTCAAACCGTATGTGATAACGAGGATTTGAGTAAGGATGCCTGCAGAGACAAATATTCAAAGGCAATGGAGGGATTTGAGTAGTGTACTAGTTTTATTCATGTTCTTTTTTCTTCCTTTACGGGATTCTAGATTTCTTTGGTTAGTTTCACATGTCTAGTAACGTTTGAGATGATCATAAACAGAATTTCCATGCATCCACAAACTTCATGGCATAACAGTGTGTACTACTAGTCTCGATAAATTCAAACGCTCGGATTCCCCGTTAATTGGTCGATTCCTGGGTACACACCCCCTAGCCTTAACTCCCACCCACCGACCCAATCCTAAGCACCTTTGGTGGTCTGGCGCGAGATTAGTGTACCACGTGATTGTTAACTCTCGTTTAGCAAAATACCTCGAATTAATTTTTTTCGCCTATACTTTCACAGAGATTAGAATAGTATGGTGCCATTAGTAATAACTCTATTAAGACCTGAGCTCAGCGATATCACATATAATTGTACTCACTAGGCCCTCACTGGGTGAAACCATCCATGGCCCGTGGCCAGTACCTTCAACTTATAGCGAGACCGTGTCCAAACTAAGTTCCGGAGCATGTTCCGCAGATATAAACCACCAGTAACATACTTTGGATATAACTAGTTATATGTACATACCGTTGCTCACGTACATGTAGTTGAGGTAACAAAAAATTCCATACTAACATGTACATGTAGTGTTACATTAATTATATAAGGCCGGGTTTATCATTTATGATAACTCCAAACATATCATGTCAACACTTTGTCCTTTTAGATCGGTGTTTATAATGAGTCATATAGATAGGTTCTCTATTACATAAATAAGTCATTTTATCATTTGTCGCCTTCAGGGTCTCGTTCCATCTCAACACCGGATTATCCTCGGGCCGAGTGATATTCTATGATTGATTGCTCAGTGTAAAAAGCGCATAGCTGCACAACCCGAATTTAGTTATCCGCTTTATGAGAACACACGTACAACGAGCGATCGACCTCGTCAGTGAAATAAGCTTAAAGTTCCTTTCTCGACTATAAATCACGCGCACGACACTTGACCCGAAAAGTTTAAAATTAGTCTCCCTGGCCTATGAATATCTAGACACATTACTTACATGTATGTGGCTATATAATTGTCGGCATCTAGCTTTGTAAATTTCCAACTTTTAAGGCACGTATATAATAGCTTTCACGAGTGATGAAGGCTGTTTGCTTCGGGGTGAGAGGCATGTTCTCTTTTATTCCCTCTCCGCATTGGATAAGGCCTCAAAAGAGCAAAGTATAAGTACAACTATGATTCTCCTCTGAATTCTGATTTGCAAAGATAGTGAAGTTTATAATATTGGAGTCAACTACGTTTTTTTTCACGACATACCCGGAGCTGTTTAATCCCTCCTCGCATAATTTCGAACCAAAGTGTCGAATATGAAGTACTGGCTTATTTTGGTAGCCGCTAGAATTACTATTCTGGTCTTGGTAGGTCCGGAATTGCTACAATATGCAGTTTCCTCTCCACCTGTATTAATCTCCATAGCCGCCAGCCGGGACTACCCCCAAAAGTACGCTCTTCTTCCGGTTTCCCCATTTCAATTTTGCAGCCGGCGAGAGTACAGTTAGGGCATTCGGTGGGGGTTAGGGTTTCTTTCGCTTTTTATGGATTTTCTTTCATACATGTAGATAATGTTTTGATTTGTAGGTAGGTTTTTTTAGTTGCTGTAGTTAGGGTTTAATATGTACATCATGTACATAGCACATGCATGTAGTTGAACCTTGGGGATAAAAATAATTTCTTTTGTAGTTCCGAATAAGCGACAAAAAAACAAGACTTTGACTGCAGTTGACTGTACTAATCCAACTTAATTGTAAGTACAGTCCCGGAAATCCTATAATTAGCTAGCCATACAAGTACCAAGTACTTATTTGCGATGGATTTTTTCTTGATAATTCTCACAGGTAATTTGTGGATTCAAGTGTGTCGAGACTCAGTATCACTTCACTTTATATAGATTTCAAGCGTGTACGTACTGAGCTCGAGTACTTGAAAATTTAAAAGTGTTGTGAAGTTCTTGATACACGCTACTACTTCAACGTTCAAAGCCTCCACATTGAAAGACATGTAAATCTGCATAAATACTCTATCTACGCCACTTTATATGAGTTACCATAACACAATTAACTTCTACCAATACCAACATTACAAACATGTCAAAACCTACTGAACTTCGATCCGCAAAGCACCAGTACTACATCCAGCTCCGAATGAAAGAGTTACACCAGAAAATAGAGGATTTGGAGGCATCTTACGATGACCTAACCCGATACTGCATGTATCTAGAGTATCAGCAGCAGGCCAATAACCTGAATATCCAACACAGCGAGGCAACATTCCGTATAGCAGACAGAATGCGTATAACCGGTACCAGTACTATGACTGATCCTTTTGGAGAAGGGGAGGCCCGTATTTTTGAGCAGGCTAATAACAGATATCATCTTTGGAAGGAAGCAGAGAGGATAGAAAGTGGGACCGCGAACAAGATACAGCGTGCGTATAGGGGGTTGGATGATTTGGAGTGTGATCTGGCGGCTGTTAGGGTTGAGTTGGTGGAGCTTGAAACGGTTCTGAAGGAATTGGAGAGGACGGATGTTATGGACATTGATCGCCGAGCTTAACTTGATAATTTGAGCCAGCGAGAACCACAGAACTTCATATCCAGAAGATCTATGTTAGAGCCATAGTCGATCGAATGTACGGCAGAGATTTAAAAAATTGTTGGAGTGATGGTAGTCAGAAAATGAATAAGAGAGGAAGATTAAGCTTGTGCTGGTTCTAGAACGCCAACAATCAAATTTACAGTTTATTCTGATATTTTCCCGCCCATATGCACAGTGGAAGTAACCGCGTTGGGTGATTATATGCCTAACATAAAGTGCAACCCATACACGTGCTTTATATTCCTTAGGGATGAGAGTATGATTACTTCAATATAATAGAGGGAAAGTGAAATATAACCCTCGAGCCATTAATTATCATATTTCTTATGCCTTTTCGGAGCTAAATGGATCTTGCCATCACACCTATATGTGAAAAAGAAAGAAGAGCTTGACCAACATACATATAGGTCTCGATCCTACGTATTAGTATCCCACTCACCCTCAAGCCTCTCCAGCACCCTCTCCATCACTCTCTCACCTACAATCCCGCTGAAAGCCATCCGTTTCTCATCACTGCTCATACATAAGAACGCCCTTAGCCCGCCATCTCTGCAATGTCTCAATACAACCTGTGCAGCAAATGCATTAAATCCGGCCTTTCTCAAAAACCTTTCCCATAGTGTTTCATCCTCCAATAGTTTGCCTTCATCGCCCTCCTTTATCATCAATGATACTACCCATCTCGCAACTACATCATCGTCTTCTTTCAAGACTCGTATATTCACGCCTGCCCGTAGACCAGCCGCAAAGCCAACGAAGCCTGCGATAGTTTCTGAGTCGCTTCTCCCATGTATAGTACCAAGCACTATCACAAATAGCCGCTCATATAGCAGAGAAACATCTAGTACACGTTGTCTGGTTGTGTTCAGAGCCTGTCCCGGCATTGGAGCCTGTCGGATCTTCTGTAGGCTTGTAAATATGAGGCCGCAGAATGTGGAAAGTATCAAGTCCGCTTCTGCCGAGTCTTTATGAGAAGACGGAATGCCAGCAAAATGGTCAATGATGGGAACCGTGAAGTCCCGTTCTATGACGGTTGCAGTAGGGTAGAGATCAAGTATTAGGCGGAAAAGACGCCTTTGAGAAAGAAGAGTAGTCGAGGCGATGAAAACACCAGGAGATGATGGGAGGTGAATCTGAGGCCGAGGGAAGGCAGGAGCTTCAGTTATTGGAGCAGATGGGGCTATATTTCTTGCTGGAATCTTTTCTTGCTCCTGGGCTGCTTGTACCGCGATCGTTCGCGGTACTTCTTCAGAGGATAATTTAGGCTTCTTTGAAACTCGCGAGCGCAGTGCCATGAACGTATCTAAAGGGTTAGCAAATAGTGGCGCTTCCCCATCCAGTTTCCTTATAGTCCCAACTCCATTTTTACTAGTTGCTGTAGACTGTGTCAGTTTCTGAACCTTGGACGCCTTCCGCTTCTTGTTCTTCAGCAAAGTCTCCATATCCGTTTTCACCGCGAAAACCCCCGCCTCCAATTCATATTCCCTATCTTCATGCTTTGCAAGCCCCATAGTCCTCAAGCCCTCTACGAGTCCACTCTCTATGACTTCTATATCACCCGGTATTATTCTAACCTCATCTACAACCTCCCCACTCCCTAAATCCTCAGTTGGAACCTTGACAGCACTCCTTGCAAAGGGCCGCCATGAGAGATCCACCCCCATGCCTGCCGCTCCACCCCATTTCCTTGCTGCAATACCTGCCCAGGTTTTAAGATCCCTTAATCTTTCTAGTCCATCACCTGCCTTATCCCACGGCAGCACTGGCAACGTGAGGTTAACAAACGGAACATTCACCCTAAGCGTGGAGTCGGCCTCCTGTAGTTGTTCCTGTGCAAGTTCCTGGCTCACGCGTGATAGTATCTCCATATCCAGGGAATCCTCTAACGCCTCCCCCGGTGGTGTGCTTATTCGCGGCGGCAGCGGCAGATCTGCAAAGCGGACTTTCTTAACCGTGGATGCGGGGGGTGTAATGAGAGCTTCTACGAGTAGCGTTTCTGTGCGTGGGAGCTTCCTAATTGGAGACTCCATCGGTGGTGTTGTCTGGAGGAAGCTAGAGGGGGGCTCTGAACAAGGTGAGTCGAGGAGTGAGTCCGCGGCTATAAATGGTGCGGCGAGGTCGGCGATTAGGAGTGCAGTTTCACCGCCGTCAATTGGTTTGAGGTCTAAGGTCGAGGAGAGCTTTATAGGTGAAGGGGTGATGATGGGTGATATGGGAAGAAGTGGCGGGGTCATGAGACGTGAATTTGTTGGCTATAAGCTGGGTATATGACATTAGTATCACTACTAGACTAGACTAAATTAAATAGAAGATAAGGCGGACCTTGCAGTACGCCAATTCCTGTTGGATCAT